ATTAATCTAAAAGACAAAAAGAAATACATAGTAAGGAAATTGTCGATCATTTTTGTATCGCATACTCAAGTTACAACAACATTCAATAGAATCTTGTCTCTCGACGTCGTCTTTCTTCTTGTCCAGCTGTATATCTATTCTATCTGGATGTCTGTCGATCGTCGGAAAAGAGAAGAAGAGAAAACACATACACATTATATGCTATCTAATCTATCATTATTATTATTCTTTATTATAAGCACGTTTGCTTTTGTATAGAAGATCATCTTTCTATTCAATCGCGATGTCTTACAATGTGACAAAATAGATAAATAGAATAATGGACCTTACTACTCGTACAGTGCGGAGGGACGAACAAACGAAATGTAGAAGTTGTTTTTCTATATTACTCGTATCGTTTTTCTTCTCAACATAGTTGTATACATATATATTTACTAAATGACTCGAAAATGGACATCTGTTTATGTGCACAGGCGCATGACATGAGTTAAAAATTATCTCATTGCATAGCATATGTTTCTATTTTTGGTCATAAGTTGTCTTTTGATTCTCTTGAGACAACATGAATATGTGTACGTTCTGCTTTTTTCTTACCCGCACAAACCCGACTCTGAACTAGTGGCCAGATGGACACTTACACTGTGTATTGGAAATTTTCAAATATGTAACCATACTTCGTTATATGACGATAATGAGGATTGAGTTTTGAACAGTTGTACAAGCTTTTTTCGTCTAAGTTATATACGCGTATGAAAAAAGAAGACGAGAAGAAGAAGACAGTTGATACGATGCAGACACCATACGCGCGCGTGTGTGTGCGAGTTAACTGTTGCTGTTTTTGCTTCCGACATTGAAAAGATGGGATGTGTGTGTATGTGTGCGCACAACTGTGCAACGTATCCGTCTTTCTATCTGACATGTGTGGGTCTGTATGGGCATTTGGATAATACTGGTTTATGTTTAACTGAAAATAAAAGAAAAAGAAACAGCATACTAACCTAATATCGTTACAAGTGATCTATCGTTGATGTTGGATCGTAGTATCGTACATTGAAAGAATAAATCTATGTAAACAGGATGATTTATCTGTTGCTGCTATCGCGTTGCCTTCTTCTTCTTTCTTTCTTTCTTTCTCTCTCTTTTTCTCCTTCTCCTTCACAATTTCATTGGAACAGATGATGAGCGTCTCCATCCATCGTTGTTTCTCTCTTCTTCTCTTTCTCTCATAACCAGAGGGGGATTTCATGCTCGATTGAAGACCAATTTACTTTTTTCTCTTATTCTTTTTGTCTTTATTTCATCAGGTGCTACCGGTCTCTTGCTCTTTGTTTATATTAGAATCATCGTGCAAGCATTAACATGTAAATTGCCCATAGCATACTGCACCTGCAATAGCTTCTCGACAGCATTCAATAATAAACGAAAGAAAAGAAAGAAAAACGATAGATAGCTTCAATAGATAAGAATGACATGCAAACATACACATATATTTTCAAATACGAAAGACGATATTCTTATTTGAAATTATCAGTGGTAAAAACATACGGGTCATACTGAATCATCCGTACCTCTACTTTCAGATTTATCTCATAGTCGAAGTTTAACCATGAGCGGTCTAGTCGAGAACTTCAAAACCGTTCTTCAACGTATTCAGGAAGCAACACCCGCCAATCAAAAGCCCGCTCGATTGATTGCAATCTCCAAAACTAAACCTGTGGAAAATATTATTGAATTATATAAAGCAGGCCAACGGGACTTTGGAGAAAATTATGTCGATGAACTAGAAACCAAAGCAAACGATAACGTAATTCTCACCGAGTGTCCCGAGATACGCTGGCATCTTGTTGGTCATTTACAAAGTAACAAAGTTAATCGTGTTTTAACTCGTGTACCCAATCTGAATTGTATACAAACTATCGATTCAATCGAGTTGGCTAATCGTATCAATAATACTCTAAAACAACAATCGAAAACGTTGAATATTCTTTTACAAGTCAATACAAGTCAAGAAGCACAAAAATCTGGTATATCCAAAGAAGATTTTCTCGCTCTGTATGAGCATGTCAAAACCAACTGTACACAACTGAATTGTCAAGGTTTGATGACAATTGGTTTGTTGGACAACGTAAACGCCGCGGATGATTCTGATTTTCATGTGTTGATTCAGTGTCGAAAAGAGTTATGTGAGAAATTTAATCTTTCTACAGACGATGTTGAACTTTCCATGGGTATGTCTCATGATTACGAACGTGCAATTCAAGTTGGAAGCACAATTGTTCGGGTTGGAAGTTTGATATTCGGCGCTCGACTTCAACATTGATTTTTACTAATTTTCTTTTAAAAAAAATAAAAGTAAACTAAAGTCTTTCTCAGTATTCTTTTCTTTCAGATAGAAATGGAGTTTAGTGATGCAGATCATGGATTTCGTGCTCGATTTCTGGAACCGAAATTCGAACCTGAGTCATTTGTACAATCGATTGGTAAGTAAAAAGATCAACTGATGAAAACTTTTGATCGTAATGAGTGATTTCATTTCAGCATCAAAATCGATCGGCAGCACTGATTTAATGAATATGAAACGACGAATGCATCTTATATCGAGTGAAGCAAAAACCGAATTGAAACAAAATGTCTACCGCAATCATACAAAATTCATTGAAACAGCAAAAGAAGTCTCATCACTAGAATCAGAAGTCTATCAATTACATTCCTTATTGGCTGATGAAAAACAACTATTGAATACTGTTAAAGAATTACTGAATGTCGAGAGCAAGGTAAGAGAGTGAGATGGCCAATTAATGTAAAAACTGAAAATTCTTAATCTTCAAGGCCGACACATCAGAAGCATCCGATACGGAATCATGGGAAACTCTGCTACATCATTGCCAAAGCTTAGGTCTTGTTTCCGTCAGTCCCGAACGTCGTTTAATCCATAGTGGTAAATTACTAGAAGTCAAACTGGAGAATCTTTCCACCAAACCGCAAACTAAAGGGAGTTCGACGTCTAAATTACCAGCGTCTTATGTTACACATCAATGTTACGGTCTTCTGTTCAGCGATTGTTTCATCATCGCTAAATCATCAAACATTCGTACAGCGACTGCCTACGACGTCGATCAAGTTATAAAACTACATCAACCATTGACCGGAATCAATAACAATCGTAATACCAATCAAAATAAACAAATTCAATCGTCAGCAATTCAACTGATCAATGTCAAAGACGATGTTCTACGCAACTCATTCTCTATTAAACACAATCTCGAGACGCATACACTAATGTGCGACAATGCTCAAAGTAAAAAACATTGGATGGAGATGTTCGAGAGTGCACTCTACCCTCAGCAAAGGCGCGGTTCATTGTTACACACCGAGACCGGTCGATTGTCGACATCGCCAACATCTATCTCATCGTCCGGTAATGATCGATCGTCTATTCAACAGCAACAATTACAATTATTCGAAGAGGATTTCTACGCTGAAGATTGGATCAGTGATACCCAAGAAAACCTTGTTATACTTCTCGCTGAGAGAAATTTCGATCAAGCATTAGAATTGATCCTTCGTGCAAGAAACTATGTTCGTCAATTTCTGCAAGGTCATCCTCAACAACCAATGCATTTCGTCGACGAGTATACAAAAGGTGTGCAAATCAAAGAACAAGAATTATGTAAACTAATTGAAAAAGAAATTCAAAATATTTGCGATCGAGGCTGTTCAACAAATCTGCTAAAGCATTACTATCATCATATACAAACACTGAAACAACTTGGCTATGTTCCGAAAGCTTGGTAAGTGATTTTAGACAAAATACATCTCATTTTCATGTCAGTTTTTATCTTCAGTGATTTATTTATCACTATTCAGCTATCATTAATGAGAAATACACTGAAGCAAACTAAATTAGAAGAACTCAATGTTGTTTTCGTGGAAAATTTCGCTAATACATTCTTCACTCGACTCGTCGATAGTTATTACGAGTTTGTAGAAATTTTCAAAGATCAAAAATCGACATTTACCAAGTTCATTGTCTGGATGTCGAGTGAAATCGAAAAGTTAATCACCATTCTACATAATCAACAATACATTAGTACAAAAAATTTCACTTTTTCCATGAAGAACATTCACATCTTACTGACCAAAGCGAATGAATTCTCTTCGAAATTAATCGATGTGAAATTCATGTTCGAAGAACAACTTGAACAATTACTGATTCAAATCATCAATACGCAAAAAGACGTGATTATCGATACTCTACGACAGAGACATCGAGATGAAAAGTGGATTTCGGTCACATTGCAAACACAGGATCGTTTGGATCAATTGTTTTTCGAATTCCGAGAATTGGGTCTCGATAGTCAAAAATTCCTTCAACCATTTCTAACAACCACGAATGAAGTCACTCAGATACATTTAGCTCCGAGTACACTACTATTCGCTAAGGCTTATTTAACTTTTTCACGAGATTTATTTAAAATTCATTATTCACTAATTAATCAAACGGTTGTCGAAGCTCTCGTGGAATTGATCAAATTACATTTGAAGTACTATGAACGTGCATTACAAAAGTTACAAACGAGCAATGATAAACAATTGAAGAATTTCATAATGAAAAACGTGGATTTTTCGTTGAATCATCTTTTTCATTATGTCGACACTCTTTATCGACCAAAAGTTGGTCATTCCGTCAAATATTTCACAAAAGTCTATGAGAAAATGTCGAAATTAAAAGAAATGGCTGCTGCCGAGAAATGATTTTTTTATCTTTTATTTGTGTTCTTTTGTTTAATTATAGCAATAAATTATTCTCCCCGCTTTGCCAAAATTAAATTCCAAATAGCAAATCTCTTCCCTTTTCTTCATACATTGATGCAACGGTTTATATACGTACATAAAATACTACCCATATATCGTTTATTGACATACATTCGTAACATGATAAGTTATAAAAATAAAGTTATGCACAAAGGAGAAGAGTATTTACATATGATTCGCGGGATTTAATGATCTGCAGGTAGTGGAGAAGTATCTGCGGATGAGTTCAATCGTTCAGATCGTACTTCGAACTTGAGATTAACATCAGTTGTTGGTTCATTTTCTTTCTCAGGATCATCCAGCATTGTATAATTGGACATGAGAGATTCTTTAGCATATTTTTCATAGCAGAAATCGCACAGACGATGTTGAGTACTTAGAATAAAAATGTCTCATTGAACTACCTCATAACGCGAAATCTTACCTCGATGTAGCACCTGGTCGCCAACGATTGCAACAATAATAACAAAAGAGTCCTTGACACTGACGACAACGGTACTAAAATGATAGTATAGAAAGAAAGAAAAACGAAGCGAAGAGAGTGAAATGTACTTTTCGTAGAGTCCATCCAAATGCTGTGTCACATTTTGTACATTTTGACACATCATCTTCGTGTATCCATTGTTTTGACTGTTCTTCTTCAAGTTTAACTTCATAGTTATAGATTGAATTGAACAAATCAGCTTTTTCACTACCAAATCAAAAGAGTTGAACTAAGAAATCGATTGTTTGGCCGTTGCTTACCGAACTGCTTTCACTAATCGACGTTTCATTTCTTCGAAATCGAGTGTTTTCTCTTGAATAGAAGCTTCTAGTTGCTCTTGGATTTTACTATGCTCATTCTACAAGTATTGTCAATGATTGACACATCAGAATTCATTTGTTTCTTACTCGTTCTTTTTCGGATGTCAATCGTTCGTTTTCAAGTAACTTTGCAGTCTAAATTCAATACTTGGTGTTCATCACAATCGTAAGTTTTCCTTATCTTACTTTCTGCACTTCACATGCCAGTTGGTCAATGCGTTTCTCTTGTTTAGCTGTTTGAACTGCATGTTGTTCTTGCTACAAATACAAATCTAGATTTTGTTGTTCCATGTTAAAAATACAAACAATCGATTTGATATGTTTCCCTTGTTCATCAAGTTTTCGTTGTAATTCATTGACGATTTTTTCCTTTGTCTCTAGTAGCGCTTGATACTTGGCTGCTTCACGTTCACGATCTTTCATTTTCTAGAAATAAAACAATATTCAACTTAGAATTTCATCAGACTACTTGCTGTCGAGCTTACATTTTCGGTTGATGTATGTTGAATCATCATAGTTGAAAGTTGGAAATTGAGATCATTAATATCGCTTTTCAAAAGTTCAATTTCAGATTTGAGATTCTCATCAACATGTGGAACAACAGTATTATCATCATCATCGTCTGCTGTTTGACTTGTTTCATCATGCTTATCAACAGTACATTGGACTTCCACATCGGCCATTGACGGTTGTTCATAATTCGATTGCAACTGAACTTCCAGTTGATGGCAACTATGACGAGAATCACGTTTTTTTCCTAAAAGAAGACTAGCTTTGAACGCATATTTACCGTTCTTTCCAATAGTTTAATGTATTTTCTGGATATTCATCCATAGATGAGATTGAATAAGGTGAATTCGCTTCATTTATTGACGCTTCGAGATTCTAAACGAGAAAACCATTTCATCGACTATCAAACGGTAAGAATATTTGCCTACATGCAAACACGACATTGTCATTGGACAAGATGATGCTATCATCGATTGAGAAGAAATACTATCCTAGAAAAGACTCGGATTTTATCAAATAAAAAAGTACAGTCAAGTGCAATTACGTACCATTGATATGAAACTTGAGATACTATCGGTACGAAGTCGTGAAGTCGCATCGGATAAATGCTTTGATCGTAGATCAACAGACCTATTAGAAAAAGATTCTCTCTCAGGAAATTTTCCATTTAAATCTCGAAATTTTACTCTGCTGTAGGCCAACAAACATCCAATTGATACTGCGAGTTCGAAAGAAGATCAAAACCCACATCGTTCAATTGATATAACGCTTGAACAATACGATTTATATAAACTGATTTCAACCAAAAGCAGTCCGTGTGATAAAATTGACTAGAAAACAAAACAATTATAGTACTTGTCTTGTTCGATCTAACAAGATATCTTACTGAACAATTTTAGTGAGCATGAAACTCTGCTGTATGACATCACCTAGACGATGATTTTGTAAACAAAAACGGAGAAATAATCGGCCACGACCAATCGATGTTTTAACTTCTTGAGTATTGAGAACGTAGAGTACGGTGTCATACAGACCTTTACTTTCTTTGAGTGCTCGAAGAAAGAAATCCCAATAATTTCTCTGGGTATTGAGTAATGATTTTCGATCTAAAGATGAACATACAAGATGCAAAACGAAATTCATTGCTAGTTCTGAGTTATACTTCGTAAGTCAATTTGTAATAAACGTTCGAGATGTTGAAAAAAGATTTGCAAATGTGTATTCGTGTCATCGATCAATATCGATTGTAAGTGATCGATTTCGTTGTTCGATGTTGTATATTCAGTACAGAGCACATTTGCTTTATCTACAATCATCGAATATTCATTTTCAGTTGCGATTATACCCAGGAATTGAACCTACTTTCAATTATTTCAATTGATCGCAATATAGACGATAATTTGCGAGTATCTTGTAAAGACATTTTAAACGAATGAAAGATGACATATAACTCATGTGCTTTCTTTTCTTACTCATGTATTATACCTCATTCGATTTTGATTGGTGATTGATTTTATCAATGACAGACTACGTGGTGTCACTACTGATGCAAATGGCTGCTTCTACATAGTTTCGAAGGACGTATCAGCAAGGATTTTTCCTACGTTCATTTAGCTTATCGAATATTCGCTGAGATAACGAATAGACATGTTAAAGATAGCTGGAGAATTCAAGATATAGTGCTGATACAACCGTGTATAAGAAACAGTATTTGATAGCGTTGTCATAACTCTTTAGAGCAATGCATTCGGCTTGAAGTGAGGACGAATAATACTTCGTCACAGTTCGTTGAGCAGTATCAATGTTTGTTTTATCTCTTATTCATTTCTTTTTGAATTGACATCGAAAGAGTCAGTAATACGATGGGAAACTCAAACAGTAATCGATCATCTTTGGAAATGAAACGTTTGGAAGAAATAACTGGTATAAAACGGCAAAGTTTTTTGGATATGCATGAAGAGAGTAAACGTAAACATGGAAGCGATAATCCCGTTCTTGTAAGTAGAGCTGATTGTCGTCATTTCATCAATCAGATGGGTGTCGGCTTTGATAATCAAAAGCAAGTGGATGTCGCACTGGGAATTTTCGAAGAAGATGGCAAACTCTCTACCGAACAGCTTTTCTCTTGTGTAGCTATGCTGAGTGAAACAATGAATGGCGCTGCTCGGCTTGCCTATGTCATCGATACACATAATCCAAAAGGCGCAGACCATGAAAATGTTTCACGCAAATATGGACAGAAAATCATACAATGCATCAATGAATTTTATGGTATTAGGAAAGTTGATCAACCTGAAGAGGTCTGGCTTGAAATCTGTGGTGGAACTGATAAAGCGAAAGTGACAAGAGAAGAATTCGTCAAATATATGACGTCCAATGATCCCTATCAAGATTTCTTAGTTTGAATAAACAAAAAAGTGAATGTCTATGTTTTCATAGACATTCAGATACGATGTTTTTGCGTTCGTTCATTCTCGATCAATATGTTCACAATAAGATCTACAAAACTGTTTATGCTTGAAAACATCAAATAAACTTCAATCATTTTTCTTTTTAATTAAATCATATGTACGTATCAATAAGTTTGCAATAACAAAATAAATCTAATATTTCGATTTTTATCATCAAAACACATCTGAAAGCGTAATTTCACTCCAGGAGTATTCATATACTATTGAATCGGGCTAAGAATCTTTTTTCAGATTCAGATACTACTTTGAGAATATGTTTTCACATGATGCGTATAAAAAGGTTTGCTGTTCCTATCTATTGTGTTCTGGAAACAGTTGGAAACCTTATAGGAGAAAGAAGATGTGATTGTATGCAGTAACGATTCGGTATTTGGTGTGTGATTTGGTTAAAATTTATTCTAGGCAAAGAAAGTATTTTCAGTGCCGTTTGCCCTCTCAGTATTTCTTCATCATTAGAAGTACTTTATATTTAATAGTAAGGAAACTCCATGCTTATTTTGATGTGTTTCTTAGATTTTACGTCAATCAAATTTCATGGTTATAATGGATTCAAAGCTGTTATTTGTTATCCGTATATCTCTTCTGGTCTTGTCAATCATTCATAGAATGATTTTGGTTTAGCATGCACTCGAATAGAAGAACTACTTTTACTACTGGTGACAATCTATAAAACGTTTTTTCTACAAAACCTTGTAGCTTAAACGACATTTGATGTTCATGCATGAGTTAACTACCTCCATACTATCGATTTTTAAATAAGGATTGTCAATTATCCAACAAGGAAAATCAAGACAAACAAATATGTTTTTGTCGCTTCTCAGTCAATATCAAACATGAATTGACATGAGAAATTAACATACCGAATTAGAAAACAGAAACAAAGTTCACATCCAGAGTTTATTGCTTTTATTACAGAGTATTTCCACATGTTCTGGACACAACATTTTTGTTCGACAGCATTTCTTCTATCAGAAAATACGGCACGACGTCGTTGTTTTGATGATGGAAAAGTAACGACCCGTTGAAATGAATCCAATACGAAAACCTGTGACAACTGATCTATTTTTATGACAGAAGATTTGAGTAAATTAGAAGACGAATCTATATTGAATTTATATAACGACAAATGTTTCCGTTTTCTGCAACTCGTTTATCAGTTATTACATATAGCGAATGCATAATAAATTAGTGGTCATTTGAAAGTTCGTTCTCTTCCCCCTGATGAGACAAACATTTCTATTCTTTGATTACATCTCTGCTTGAACATTGACTAACCTCTCGTAAGAAAGCATATCAATGAATATTATCAATATACAGCTGATCTTCCACAACTAAGTGATCGAAAAAAACAGAGCGGTCATCAGAAATCGATTGTGTCTTACTTCATGTTTTATTGTGGAACTGTGTATGTAATTCACATACTAGAGAACATATGTTAAGAAATGGCTCACTGTCATAGTTTGTTTTATCACAAGATCTTTGTCTTACCTGTTTTTTTTTGTCAACAGCTTTCATGAAGAAGTTTTTCTTCACACATGTAGTTATTTTCATGAAATCAATAAGAAAAACCAGAGCTTTTCGATATCCAAATTTGCTGCTTTAATTGTAATAAAATTCTAAATACTTAGGACGTCGTTTTGTCAAACGGTAAAACTAAAGCTATATGAATGAGTTTTTAAGAACCATTATGAACTAACCTGTATTGGCTTCCTGTTGCCTTGCATCATCCATTTGCAAGTGTTATACAGTGAACAGTATACAAGGATGTATCAGTATATGTTTTTATCAAATAACAATGAAGAAATTTGTAATATTTTAGGAACAGTTCAATATGAATTGAAGCATGATAAATTCAAGTGTTTCGTTCTGTGCATCATGGTACACCGACGAAAAGGATTATTATTCCAGAATTTACAGATATAGTTTTCGAAAGACTAATAATCTCGATGGTAACAAGTTAATTTAGCTTTTACGGACAATAATGTGTACTAAACTAGGAGAATGTATGCAGAAAGAAATCTGAAACAAATGCCAGTTCTATTCAAGATAGTTCGATGTGAAACGACATCTCGCGAAATATGTTATGTACCGCAAAAATATATAAACTATGGACGATGGACTCAAGTTTGCCTGACGTTAAGTTTGGTTCACCTCTCACAACTATCATTACAATACTTTTTTTAATCAGGTTATATATGATTGTTTTTCATCCATAACGAGTGATTATATTCAGACTGTTTCAACTTCTACTGATAGATATAATCATTTGACTCAGGGTATTTCAATAATCTTAAATATTTTCTTGTTAACGCATGGCATCCGGTGACGATGAAAACTATGAAGAAAACTCATCTGACTTCTTTTCGGATGAGTTGTATTCGCCCGATAGTGAACGTGATTTATATGCTGTATTGCATATCAATAAAGATGTATGTTAATTTTATCGATGAATTTCTAGTCTAAAAAGAATCCACTTGTTTTAGGCTGATGTGACAACAATTCAACAGGCTTATCGTCGATTGACACTTCTCTATCATCCGGACAAACACACCGATCCCCGAAACAAGCAATTAGCGATGGATCTTTTCATTCAAGTAAAGAAAGCATATGATGTTCTGAATGATCCACAGAAACGAGCCATCTACGATGTTGTTGGGATGAAAGGCTTGAAAGCTGAAGGCTGGGAGGTAAAAGATATCAGTTTGAAAATCACCTGACCTCATCTTTCTGATGATTAGGTGGTCAGTCGAACAAAAACAGCTCGTGAGATTCTTGAAGAATACGAACGATTAGCCAAGGAACGTGAAGAACGGCGGTTCAATCAAATAACTAATCCCAATGTTAGTATGATGCAATGTTCTAATGTATGACTCATGTCATGTTTAGGGTTCTGTACATATGACAGTAAACTTAACGGATGTTTTCGATCAAATGAATTCATCTGATGAAGATAGGTAAATTTCTAGATGAAGGCGACTACGTCGAATAACTATGGATTCGTTTTTTTTTTATAGTGAATTTTCACCTGTTATTGAAATGACAGAGTTTACCGTTGCACAAGGAATTGATATACCATTAACCAGTCAAGATACAGCAAATATCACTGCTGTAGTATCCACACGCAACGGACGTGGTACAGGATCATTTACAACATCATTTCGACGTGTACTTGCTGATCTATCTTGGTTCCGAGTATGCTTGATAAAAGAATTAGTTTATTTATCGCTTTCTATACTCACTGAACATTTTAGATTGATTTAAATTTTGGCCACAATAATCTGGCTGCTTTTCGGTATTTTCGTCGTTTAACACAAAAACTGTAGGTAGAAATAATTTTGATTGATTTCGTTAGTTTTCATGTGACTAATCTTTTGGTCAGTTTAGTCACGCAAATATGGCTGCCACAATCGGTCTGGCCGATGGTGGTTCTGCTATAATCACACCCGGATTCATATTTTCCATTACGTATCAATTGAGCCATCATTTAACAAGCAGTCTCGAATGGAAAACAGGCGCCGATTCGTTTATGAAAGGCGGTCTTCATTATGATAATCAAAAGCTTGCAGTTTCCGGTGCTGTTCAAGTAATTCACGGATAAAGAAGTGAACTATATACTCCAGTATACTTTGTTTCAGCTCGGACTTGTTAATACTTTTGGCGCTATTGATAGTGTATATCGAGTGCCTAATGTTTGTAATTTGCGGTGTAGTCTCAAGTAGGAGTGGTCGATAGCTATACTGTCTCTCAATAATTAAGCATCTTTGTAGACTATTCGTTTTTGGACCATGGATAGAATATGGAATTGATCGTCAATTGACGAAATACACTCATGGTTCGGCAACGGTTGCCATCAGCTCCCGAATGGGTGTACTACTGAGATTAAAGTATGACTTCTTCGATTGAAACTTTTGAGTCTTTCTCATCAAGAGACAATCATTCCATTTAGATTCATGCGTGGCAGTCAAGCGTTCACTTTTCCACTCCAGCTCTCCACCGATATTATCCCAAGCGCAGTATTCTATGCAACAGCGGCACCAGTGTTAGCTTATTTCATACTTGACCGTCTTATTATTCGACCATTTACTCGATCGGAAGAGGAACGGTAAAGAGATTTTCATTGAATACCTTCCTGAATACTTGGTTCGCTTTTAGAGAGCAGAAAAAACGAGAAAATGAAGCACGGGAAAAACAAACCGAACGACGACGAGAAGCAATGAACGCACAAGAAGTTTTGCGGTCATTAGTAGAGCAAATCAAAGATAGAGAAGGCTCACAAGGCTTAATCATTTTGGAAGCACGCTACGGTCAACTATCGTCCTCATCACCGACGGCACACGAAAACTCGATAAAAATCATTGATGTGACTGTTCCATTACAAGCTCTTGTAAAAGATTCTAGTCTTAAAATCGGAACGACCGTATCGAAATCGAATCTAACCGGTTTCTACGATCCGTGTATCGGTGAAGAAAAGTCTCTGTTCATTAAATATTCGTTTGGATCACAAATACATACGGTGCTCTACAAAGATGTCGATCCTATTGTCTTACCTAATCGAGGTAATAAGAGCACTGACTTGCTTCTATGACGAATATCAATAATTAATTCTTTTTCTTCATTGTAGATCATTTAGTATAATGAAAAATGGCGTATATCGAAATTTGTTATTCACTTAGGGCCAATTTAAGTTCTTTTGCTAGTTTTGGTTTTCTTTTTCAATAAAAACCATGTGTTTCCACTTAATTTCACCTATTGCCAGCCCTAACAAAGCATTCTGAAAGAAATAAGAACGTGGATAGCAATGTAAATCACTCACCGTTACTTCACATCCTCAAGAAAAGCAAGTAGTTTATTCTCAACAAATCCGACTGTTCATTGAAATACATACGTCATTGTAGACAAGTATATCTTGAACCATCGTAAACTACGTTATCTATTGATGTACAAATGACATAGAATAAAACATCTATTGTCATTGTTAATTCCGCGCAGATCATTGGTAGTTAAATCTCAATAAGAGTGTTGACGCGTATAGACTCAACTCTGTCATTGAATATCATATACAAAATCCAACATATTCGTGTCTATATTAGGAATATGCCGCGTTCTAACACTCTCAAAGTAAAATATTCAAAATGTGAGAATTATTAAAAAGCTGCTCAAATATGAATTGTATTGCGTCTCCCAATAAAAATTCAAACTGTTTCTATGTATACATGAACATAAACAATATATATATATATGTCCACATGTTCGAATTACTTCGTCTAGTTACCAAAAGTTCAATTCGAAATTGAAATATATTAGTATATTTCTTATAAGTATGATTTGAAAACAAGCACATTTATGGAAAAAATTATTTATCTAAAGAATACTTCTATAATAATTAACAAGAAGTGTTCCATTATGATATTTCATGTGACTTTCCAGATATATTCTCATAGAAACTATGAAATATCATTTCACGCAGCATAGCATTCACAACAGATGTTTAATATACCACATACTATTCATATACTATAGCGTTTTCAAGAATAAGTATTCATTTCTTACAGAAGATATTCTCGGCAAGCATCTATTCTACCAATGACTACACCATCGCCGCTTTCCCCGGTTTCTGTAAGTTATAGTATGACAATTCGATTTGAACTTACGATTGAAATACTCTCCTAGAGAATGAATAGTTCGGCTGCATTTGCGTTCACCGATGTAACAACGGAGTAAGTTTGACGCTTCGACTGCAGAGAGCTTTTCTTTCACATGTATCGATTCCAGGGAAGTCAAACGAAGAAAAAAGCATGATAAACATCATCGTTTCTTGTTTGCTATGGCAGCAATTGCAGTTCTATTTAGTATAGCTGCGGTCATTCTTGTACCAATTCTAGTGACGACATTAACTCGTAAGACTCCGTACTGGAAGTATCTCTATTCCTTCTTCCTATTTCAGGTAAATGTTCACCGTCGCCATAGGAAAGAGAAGAACTTGGAAATTTGTTTCTTTTTTCTCTGGTCAATATTTTTGCTTCACAGATGTTCATGTGAAAATCACACCTGGATATCGACACATTTTATTGTCTAAACATGTAATAAAAAATCTAAATATGATTAGATGAGCTTATTTCTTCATTCTTTACCATACCGATAGCAAACACACACATGCTCATCAATACAGATGGTCAATAATTACACCATCTTAATGATAAAATGATCTTTAGAAGACTATCCACCTGCATATTTGAACTTGCNAGAATAGATTAGATCATTTTCAATTTTCACTCACTGGATAGAAGTTCTCCATTGCTGCAGCTAGTGAATCGATTCAGCAGGTGTTCTGTTCTGTAGCGAGCTGGTCTGTCAAAGTGAATGAAGTCATTGACTATAATAGATGACGGAATGAAGTGAAGATAAATTAGTCTTGGGTATATGTAGACACTACTTGAATGAAGTCATTTCAATCTATGCATGAAACAGTGATACCATGTAAGAGTTAGTTATTTTCCAATCTTGAAAATTCAATTGTCAGAATGATTCAATGAACGTATGTGTCTTGCAGGAGGGGAAAAGGAATTTTTCAAGACTGATTAAACAACTTCTATATTCAATGACTTCACTGGTCGTAATGAATCGATCGAAAACATATTAGCAAGAAGAGAATCACCAACTATTGAAATTCTATTTCGTGCATTTCATCATATGCAAATCCGGTAATCATATAACTTCTTTCCACTTCGATGTATCAACGTAAAATGAATGAAAGAAAACATCTTCTTTTATTTTTTATCTTCTCCGATTAATGAGATTTACGTCATTTTTGACTGAACATTGATCAAATCAAAGGGATAACATTCATCGATCATCATTATATATTATCCTCTCATAACACCTTTTGCTATTCGATATCTTTGAACCTGTTTAAACCTGAAAGGAAACATTTCCGGATAACGAAGAAGGAAAAAAACGTTGTCTTCTTCCGATAAGATATTCTCATCATTGAATATAAAAGAAACAGGTAGCTTGTTCATCTGATCAATCGAACGAACTCATAGTGTGAATTTCAAAAAAAGGCATCTCTGGCGATAAGATCAATTCTAACTCTAGGAAATTAGCCAGAAGATCATATTAACTTCCCTATTGGTCGTATGGTGTGTTCATGCAATAACACGAGAGAAGGAGAAGAAGGAGAAAGATGCAAACGAGTTAGAGAGAGATAGAGAAAGAGAAGAAAAAACACGCATTAAATATTCGTTCGAAAAGAGGAAAATTCATAGAGACGACGACAACATTCTAGACGAAGTGGTGTGTTCGTACAAAATTCTTCTATCAGTGCCTTGATATTTCACTACCATCATGTATATCCATCCAACAAATCAACATACATCTTGTTTTCTTCAAAATATGTTTACATCGATGTCTATTGAAAAATGTTCATTGTCTGTAAGTAATTTTACGAAATTCTTTCGCTTGAATTCTTTCGTTTGTTCAATTGAATTCTAGACTTTGTCATCGACGAAAGCTTATTCGAAAGTTGTGGGCGCTCCGATCTTGAATCCAACCTCACAAACAATGTCAGCTCTAAGTTCAAATCTTCTCACAGATAATCAAACGAAAACAACATCACAACGTTATAAAACTGAATTATGCCGTTCATACCATGAAACTGGCATGTGCAAATATGGTGAAAAATGTCAATTCGCTCATGGGTACCATGAAATACGTTCGTTCGATCGACACCCCAAATACAAAACAGTACTTTGTCGTACATATCACTGTACTGGCTATTGTATGTATTTTAAACGAAGCACGTATTTCCGTGAAAGGTTTATCTTTCATTTTCTTAGGTCCATATGGTCCCCGATGTCATTTCTTACATGATGAATATCCTGAAAATTCACCATGTAGTTCACTTACATCTTCGATTTCTCCATCATCCTCAATTGGTAGTGATATTCGTTCTTCAGTATCATCATCTCGTTCAATTTCACCAATGGATTCACCCATCTTGAATTCCGATGATTATCTCTTTCTTCCATCGTTTTTACTAAACAAATAAGACTCGACCAAGAAGAACTTTCCAACAGTTCTGGTCACTTTCTACACGTCTTGACTTTATTTTTCTATTTATATATATACATATATATATATTACGTCTGTTGTATGTATAGTTCACACGCGATTTGTTTATTGTTATTAATTATTATTATTATTTTTTGTTTGCTTTTTTCACGGCAACAATATCCGTGCACAACTAACCGGAGATCAAAATGCGCATTGTATGTGTATGTGTGTGTGTGCGATAAATGAACGTTTTCTTCTTTTATATATATATATATATTTTCTTTCTCTCTCTTTCGTTGTTATATTTCACATACATTGCTGTGTTTGATGATTTGAAATTTTCTTTATTTAAGAAACAAAAATAAATGCCTTGAAATGCATCATTAGATTATATGATTGACAAATCTCATTCGTTGTGTTTCATTCCCTGAATAGCATGTCATGTCAATGAAGTGGAAACCGAAATGACTTTTTTTTACATAATAATGATCGATGAATGAGAAAAACTAATGATATTCGTATTTGATGCGAGTCAACCATCGAAACTGGACGAAAGAGAAGAAGATTGCCGTCCAAGTGTGATCTAATCTCTCCACAAATATGTCAACGCACATATTTCTAAATTGAATCGAAATTTTCGAATAGGAAACATCAGAGCGCGATTGTAGATTGCATGTCAATGTGTTTCATCAAGCTTTTGTCGAGTTCTCTTTTTTGGATAGAATGTTACCTTCATTGATGCGTTAAGTTGTTTGTAATTTAAACTTGTCAAGTATCACTCGGGTGCATCAAACAAACGGAAACTTCTTCTTTATATGATTGAAATTGTATGTTGATAGTAGTCTGTCGACCATAAATAGCCTCGTATACACACAATACAGTAGCTCGCAGATGGATGTGTTGTTTCACAACTGTCTGTTTTGTTGTCCTTTCTATCTATCATCATCTCGAGTTTCCAAAGCATAACAATACACAGGAGAGGATATACGATGCACACTTAGAGAAGAAAGAAAAGCTTATTCAAGTGTGTGAAGAAGAAGGAACAGCAGCAGCATCGCATCTTAATGTGTATATACACTTGCTGAATATCTCTGCTCTGTTTGTTGGACAAATGATGCTGTCAATAAAGCAAAAAAATGAACTATTTGTAAATGGATGAATATTTTCTCATCGCTATGCATCATAGATGTTTCATCGTCTATTCTTTTCTTCCTTTTCGCACCATGCATGACATCGTGCTGTGAAGGAAACATTCAGCTTTCGCTCCTTTCTCTGCCATTCTGTCACGCAGCAGTAAAGTAGATCAAATCAGCGATGTGTTTGTTTAAACCGTAAGATGAATTGTTTCCTCTCAGTATTTCTTCCTGCTGTTTCCTGTTTTAATTAAATGAACATTTCTTTCGATATTTGAAAGTAAGATTAGCTTCAAGTATAGATATGTCTATACATACGTAACAATCGTTTACACAATCTTATATTCATATAATGTTGTTTGATGTTTGAATGAAGCAAAACAACGGCTAATAAAAACAACATGAAGGGAATGTATCAAGATATCGCGCGCGCGAGAGAGAGAGATTTGATTTTATTTGACTTGTTTCACACCTATCTTTTCAATTGAGATAAAAAATGTTTTTATTACGTGTCTATGGGTAAATGGAGTTCTTCGAAATTGCTGAAATGGACCTTGTCATTGAGATGGATGACTTCTTTGATTTGTTGCATATAAGATAATGATTTCAAACGTGCATAGAACTCGTGCACGAACAAAATTTGTATTGGATTATGTATACTTTTCGGCCGAATTCGTCGCACGTTTGTTATTGCTTGACATACTCGACAAAAATTCTGCAATAAAAATGGATAATGACAGATTCGTTCGAAGAATTTCTGCTCTTTCTCATGTTGATTTTCATTCATCATGTATTCGTAGACAAGTTCCAAGCAGACAATTGTCATTCCTGTTCTTCCCAAGCCATTCATACAATGCACAAGTAAACATTCTCGTTCATGCTGTTTGACATTATTTACGATACTATATAAAAATTGTATATAATCACTGATCGATTTTGGAATGAAGCTCTTCCGAATAGGATAAATGATATGTTCCATACTTGTTCGTTGAATACGTGTTGAGTGAACACCCATATGGTTGTGAGTACTACTGAGATTGATGAATGAGACTTCTTTTGTTTCATTTAAGGTTAGAATGATGTTAATATGGAGTCGATTTAGATCATCGAGCATAGTTTGGATATCATGAGACTGACGACCGCATGGAAAGCGTGACATGTATAAAACCAGTTCATGCTCATTAGATTTAAGTATGAATTTATCGAATTGAGATGATTTCGTAGTTCTCAACGATTGATCATGAGCATCGAGCCAACCGTAGACATACGAAGTAATCAGAAGAATCAATAAGATAAGATAGATCAACGTAGAAAAGCAATGGAAAATCAGGTTGAAGTACAGAACTATTGATGATGTTAAAAATAAACTTGAAATAATTGTTAATGTTAATGATGAGAATAGGAGTATGAACAAACATATCAAAGGTATGTATGAGAGACGAAAACGCCGTTCGATCCATGTTAATGAAAACAAAAATAGAAAGATACTATTTATTGGTGGTAAGATGATGAGAAATTGAATATGTTGTTTGGGATGTTGATAGCCAATGTTAAATGTTAACATGGTCAATGTTAAGGAAAAAAGTGAAAATATAAATGCAAAAATTATACTCGGAGATCGAATAAGCAACATCGTTCTTGTCTAGTGCGTGATCTACTAAAATAAACAAAAATATTCAGACTCACTTGACTTACGAGAGAGCTTTTAATGGTTACGATTGTGTATAGTGTGATAGTTCGACAGTCGAAATGTTCCTTTCGGCAAAAGATGCTGTGTTTAATAAAAATCCAAATAGTCTCTTCAAGGAATGATATTTCTCGATGCGAATCTATTTGAAATTGTATCCGTTAACTTCAATGTTCAGTAAGAATAAATGAATAGGATTGATCCTTCTGCTGGAAATTCCTTTTTTTCTTGAGCTACTCCATTGCTTTGTAATCAAAAGAAAACGTTCAGGAAGTAACTCGCCTTCGCTTTCTAAGTTCGACTATCCGAGAAGGTTCACTCTCTAATGACGTACGACAATCACAACAAAGACCTCAAGATCGTGCTAGTTTACTAATAATAGTTTGAAAAGATACCGATTAATTACTGTAATGAGCATCCGGACCGAATCTCATCGAAAATTGTCATCATAACTCTATAAGAGATCAAACGAGAAAACGTCTATTAAATCTCGGTAAGATAAATAAATCAAGATATGTCCATACACTCTGACATCAGCCAATAGAAAAGAAATAGGATGGCACTATTGTTCGTGTCTTTATTACCCACATCTCATTAGAATATTTTCTCTAGTTTCTAAAATAGAAAAGAAATCGTTTGACAATTAACTCAAACATTTGTTCGGGAATAATGTATCACATATGTTTTATGTAAAGCCGACCTCTTATTCAAGGAAATGGCTTGTCTGTGATCAAGAGTAGAATGTACCCGAAGAAACAACTAAAGCCAACAATTTGAAGCAGCAAACCTTGTCTACGATTCATTGTGAGTGAGTCAAAACTTCCTGGTTTACATACACTGATGTTACTGGTTAACAGATATCATATTTATTTCGTTTGATCAACATAAGAAAATATATACACTGAATTTTCTTCAATAAATAATTTAATAACAATGAAAAACAGAAGTTTACTTGTCATTCTTTCGCAGTATAAGACAAAAACGAAAGTTAATCGTACGATGGTCGAACAAGCATAAAATTATCACCGTAACGTTTCAAAATAGTCAATCTATCTTGCACTGAATCGTCGACACGTTCATTGTTAACAAACTGTTGACGATGATGTGCATCGTACATGTATTCAAAAAATAGTTCATCACCTTGAAATATGGTTTGTTTAGCATAGATGCCTATGCGATAATCTCCTGAAAAAGAACAAACATTTGGGAAAGAAATGGGATGAAGATGAGCAGTACCGTTGACTAATTTGATCTTGGGAACACAATTTGGCGTGGATGAATGATTAGCAAAACTTGAACAAAGAAAAAGTTGCATTGTTAGAATTTGATCTCATTTGATTGAACTTACCGAATTTTGCTACCGAATTGTCTGGCATCGACACAGCGATCGGTGTCGAGATTAAATAAATACGAACAAGCTTGTTTATCATAGAGTCGACCTCGTCTATCTGCTTCTTCTTCGGTAATGATTTCGCCAGTATATTCGGCAATTAGATCGCCGGGATACGCAACTGGTGAGCCAAGGAAAGCACCGTAACCTGCAACTGAAATTTTCAACAGAACCAAATAATTCCAACGCAATCGTTCGGTTCGAGTTCGTTACCATCAGATTCGGCAATCAAAATTTGTTTGTACTGTTTTCTTTGCAGGCCAATATTTGCACATGTAATCGCAGGAGTATTCGATGATGAATTGGAGTTCAATGATATGCGTACACTTGACCGTTTGGTTTGAGTTCGACTCGTTTTATACGATGGTTCAACCACTCGACACGAGCGCACACTATGTTGTCTCATTGGTATGTTTTCATGTACTTTCGTTCGATATGTTTGTCGTGGAAGAGATGGCAATGATTTTCGTTCGATTACAATCGGTTGGATAACTTCAGGTTCTCTAAATATAATTCGTATTAGCTTTTTTTGTCGTAGATTTTCATAGATCAACTTTTACGATTTTATCATTGGATCGTAGTCAAGAGTTAAATTAGGGAATGATGATGCACCACATTTATGGCATAAATCCGGATCACATTCTCGTCCTTCAGCACAACACAAGCAGTTATTCAATAAACAAGCACCTTTACACGAACAACCCGGAAATCGATGTGGACAATCAATTGAACAATTACAATATTTCTCACAATACGTGCCGTTCTTCATACATTGACAGTTTTTA